ATATGTTCATTTGTGTGTACAGTGGGGGCGCGTGCCAAGAAACCAGTTGGATTTTGCCAGGGTGCCCTGGGGTTCTTGGATTTTGATGGGCTCCCATTCAGATCTTGACGATGATCGATCGACACATGTGGATTTTCACTGAACAAATCGCGTATTTCAGGGTTGGGTTTCTTGCGGAGGTTTCTTGTGGCCGAGCCCCCACTGTATTCATTTGTGTGTCCTTGGGCCCCTTCAAAATTTCCTCGAAAGACGCGCCCCTCTGCCGTGCGCGCCAAGCTCTGCGGCACGAGGCCCCTCCCCAGGCCGATCCGAGGTGCGCCCCTGGGCGGCCACGCGTGCCCCCCTGCTTCAGGAGGGAAAGAAGCACACAGACACAATGAATCGTCGACTCCCAGGAAAATATGCAAAAATATGGGAAGCGGGGGGGGAGACAAAAACCCAACAAATATGCGAAAAGATGGGGAATCTTTTTATTTGTGTGTATTTATTTGTGTGTCCTTGGGCCCCTTGACTGCTGTGCGCAGCCCCTCCGCTGGACAGGGCCCCTCCCCGAGCTGCTCAGGCGAGCACCCTCGGGGATCGAGGCAGGAAAAGCCACGCGAGCAGAGACTTCCGGAGGCCCACGCCGCTTCGGCGCTCCGGCCCCCTGGGCCTTGCCTCCGGCGCGCCGCCCCTGGCCTCGCCTCCGCCCGCCAGGGGGAGGGCGGGGCGGCGCCGATCCAGGAGAGCCGCGCGGACGTCCGAGAGCAGGGGCCGATGTCTCGGGGCGCTCGAGGTTCGAGGATCGAAACTTTCGGGCGTGCTCGTCGGTTCCCAGCGGTCCTCCACCCTCGGGGTGTGCTCTCCCGCTGCTGCGCCTCGCCGAGGGCTTTCTGAGGGGGGGGGGGAGCCGGGGCGCCCCGACCGGCCGCGAGGGGAGGTGCGGGGGGAGGAGTCGGTGGTCGATGGAACCTCCACGTTGCCAAGGCGATTACGTAGCGCGCCGCCCTCGTTCGATTCTCGAGGGGGCGCTGCAGCCGCGGGTTTTGCGGTCCCAGTGTTCTGCGAAGGGGATCTTGTCCACCCCCAGAAGCGGGGGGGAGGGGCGGGCAGGAGGAGCTCTCCCCCTCCCGCAGAAGATGAGGAGGAAGGCAAGGAAAACTGCAGACAGGACCCTTCTCTGATGCACGGTCTCGCGACGCAGATCGCCCCATTCGAATGTGCGCTGGCCTCCCGGCTTTAGCACCAGCCTTGCACACGCACAACGCTCCTCTCCCCCCCTCTCTCCTTTCCCCTCCCCCCCCCTCGCGGCGCATCTGCGAGCGGAGGGCAGGAGTCAGGGGCGCGGAGGGGCAGGGAGGGAGGGAGGGAGGAAGGGGGCCAGACGAGAGGGAGGGTGGGACAGGGTCGGCAGAGAGGCAGGGAGAGAGGCAGAGAGGGCGGGAAGGGACTGAGAGAGAGAGAGAGAGAGACGGGGGGAGAGGGAGAGGGGGAGAGAGAGAGAGAGAGATGCAGGGAGGAGGCGAGGGAGACGGAAGCGGCGTGGGGCCACGGACGGCGGCGGGGGGGGGGGGGGGGGGGCCGCGCGGCGAAGGGAGGACCCCGCCTCGCTCGGCGCGGCCTGCCGCCGCGGCGCTGGCTCCTCCTCGCGGTCGGCACCCTGCGCCTCGCTCGGCGTTCCCCCGGTCGTCCTCCTCCTCCAGCCTGCCTCCTACATCTCCGCCCTCCTCCTCCTCCTCCTCCCCCTTCTCCTCCCCCCTCCCTTCCCCCTCCTCCTCCTCCTCCTCCTCCTCCTCCTCCTCCTCCCTCCTCCTCCTCGTCCTCGTCCTCCTCCTCGTCCTCGTCCTCCTCCTCCTCTCCTCGTCCTCCTCCTCCCCCTCCTCCTCCTCCCCTCCTCCTCCTCCTCCTCTTCCTCCTCCTCCTCCTCCCCCTCCTCCTCCTCCTCCTCCTCGTTCCCTCCACCAACACCACATCACCGCCATCGCACCATGGTCATCACAAGAACCATCATCATCAGCAGCAGCAGCAGCAGCAGCAGCATCATCCACACCAGCAGCAGCAGCATCATCATCTCTCCGTCCGTCCGCCCACCCATCTCAGCTGCGACCCCGGCTCGTCCCCCACGTTCGCTCGTGACCCCCCATCGTCGGTCCCACCTCTTCATCCGCTTCCTCCTCCAGGGAAGGAGGAGGAGGAGGAGGAGGAAGATGAGCAGACATTCCCCTCCCCCTGTCCAGCTCCCGCATGTCCTTTCTCACCCCCCTCGTTTCACCATCCCCTCTTCCTTTCCCCCGCCTCCCTTCATTTTCATGCCTCTCCTATTGCATGTCCCACTCCTTTCTTCCCCCTACCCCATACCTATTTATACGATCACCCTTCGGGTGATAAGGAGGTTTGGGGGCGGGGAAAAACCAACTGCTGGCAACTGCGATGGGTAAGATGATGATGATGATGATGATGATGATGATGATGATGATGATGATGATGATGATGATGATGATGATGGTGGTGGTGGTGGTGG